ACGAAACCTCATTCGACGCAGTGCCGTGCTCAGCCCGAACAGACTGCCTCCAAACGACGTCGGCAGCACCTCGATGCCCACCAGCAGCCCAGTACCTACGGGGGTGCTCTTGCTCCCAGGCGAGGGCGAAGGGGCGCCGCAGCTTCCCCCAAACCCTGTACCAGGAGCAGAACACCCCTATAGGCCTGTAGCCACCGGTGTGCTTCGAGAGAAGCGCGAGCAACACGGCAGAAATCTGCTCGGGCAATTCGCCGAGCGCTTCCATAACTTCAAACAAGACGGCGAGCGAGTTCAACGCATCATCACACAAGTACTGGAAGTGACGACAACTGAAGCCATCGTAGGCCACCGCAGAACCCCTCTTGTACTTCTTGGAGACTTCCCTGATTTCGTCGGCCGAAACTCTCGGAAGCGTCGGACCGAGCGACGGGGGGCCTCTAGAGGCTCCAGAGCCCTTGCCCCAGAAGGCGGCGAACTTGAAACCTTCCGAAGCCAAGAGCGCCAGGGGATCAGACACAAGGGTGCCATCAGCAGAAAGGGTGGTGGTGGCCTTCCAAGGTGACGGGCCCCTGGTGAACATGTGAACTCTTTTCGCTCCCTCGTCGAGGCCAGCGCGAATCCAAGCTTGCCAGCTTTGACGGGATCTCTTCTTGGCAGCAGACTGAGCATTGCTGACCGCAACATCAATTTTGTCCCGAAGAGCCGCGTCGTGACATCTGCCCACAATGAGATCCCGACAAGGCTTGGCGACAGCACGGGCAACCTCTTCAAAGAGAGGCCGAAGGGCAGCAGAAATCTCAACCTGCTGCGGGGGCTCCTGTAGCAGCGTCGTCAGCGACTTCGCCTGAGGAGTGTCGCCTTGGTTCGAATCCAGGAGCGAAGCTAGGGCCCGATATTGGACGCTGAGCCACCGCACAGCATGATGTTCAGGATCCCGAATGGCATGGTCACGCCCGACCAGCTTCTTCCACACAAGCTGAGGGCCCTTGGATCTCGAACCAAGACAGGGGACAGACTGTCCCAACATTGGAACAAGCTCAGCCTCGGCTTTGTCAGCCCAGGCCGCATAGCAAGGCGAGAGAAGCGACGATGCGCCCCTTGCATCGCCAACAGCAACACAATGGGAGGCCTGGTCAGCAAGCTCTCGCACAAGACTCCAGTCGGGGGGAGCAGGACGCGGTCCTACCACAGCCGAGACAGGGAGAGGAGGAGGCTTCCTGAAACTGAGACCTTTCAACTTGCCAAACGAAGCGTGCAACGCAACTTGCACAGGCCTGTGGGGGCTCAAGGTAGTGTCCAGGACGACCTCACAGCTCTTGACAGTTTTCCCAAGCCCCCCCGAAAACACAAAGTGGTCCAGGGAGGACGGGGGACCCTCGCCAAAGTGAGTGTGGCCCTCAGCCACCACAGGCAGCCCGACCAACTTCTCGGCGAACCTCGAACTGGCTAAAGTGCCTGGAACCATGTTGAAATCCCCTCCAATACAGAACGGAAGAGAAAGGGACGACATACGTTCCCCTATACTGGCCAGGAGATCGATATTGCGCTCAGACAACCCTGCAGAATGATGGAGATAAACGGAGCAGAGAGCGAAACGATCACCTCGCGGGAGGTGCACTATGCCAGCAGTCGCTCTGCCAACAGCAACCACCGCCCCCCCAGGGGGCTCATGAAGGCCGAGAAAGTCTCTGACAAGGATGCAAGTGCCAGCCGACGTGGAACCAGCGGCGGTCCCGTGGGCCGCAGTAAAGATGCCTTTCCACCCTTGGCGAGCACACCACGCCGAGGCTTGTGAGAGATCTTCATCCTCTCGCATCCTGTGCTCCTGGCATAAGATAATGTGCGCAGGAGTCTTGGCCATGAGCTCCTTCATGGTCGACCATCGGTTGCAATTAACCTTGTGGATGCAAATCTCAAGGCTGTCCAGAGGGGCCGAACCGTGGCCAATGGGGGCCTCAGGGGAGCCCGAAGCGACGAAACTCACCGAAGGGTCCGAGGGGCCGCT